CAGCTTGGGGCAGGTTAATGCAGCAGAGAAGGTCAGAAGATCACATCGAACAACGCTACCATCAAACCCGCCCTGCAGGCCAGAGTACTGGGTGTCATTCTGGACTCCAACCTATCCTTCCAGCCCCACGTCCAATCTTTAACTAACTCATGCAGACTCCACCTCCGCAACATCGACAAAATACGCACGTTCCTAACCCCAGAAACCTCTAAACAGCTCATCCACTCCATCATATCACGACTCGATTACTGCAACTCCCTCCTCACTGGCCTGCCTCTCCGCTGGCTATCCCCGCTTCAGTCGATCCTGAATACGGCTGCCAGACTCATTCACCTTTCCAACCGCTCCGTCTCCGCCACCCCCCTCTGCCAATCCCTCCACTGGCTTCCGATTGCGCAACGGATCAAATTCAAAATCCTAACACTGGCGTACAAAGCTGTCCACCATACTGCCCCGAACTACATCACTGACCTAATATCCAAGTACCACCCAGCACGCACACTCCGCTCCTCACAAGACCTCCTTCTCTCTAGTTCCCTGGTCTCCTCCTCCCATGCCCGCCTCCAGGACTTCTACAGGGTGTCACCCATCCTCTGGAACTCCCTGCCCCAACCCATCAGATTATCACCTACTCTTCTCTCCTTTAGGCGCACCCTGAAAACCCAGCTCTTCAGGGAAGCCTACCCCACCCCCTGCTAACTTGCCGACCTCCTCCACTCTTCCTACCACTCCATCCCCCACAGCTATCTCCTCCTGTGCCACCATCCCCTCCCTCCTAGATTGTAAGCTCAAAAGAGCAGGGCCCTCGATCCCCTCATGTTTTGCATTGTATTGGTATTGTTCTGTCACATGTTCTGTCCCCCTTTGTAATGTACAGCGCTGAGCGAACTATTGGCGCTTTATAAATACTGTATAATAATAACTGCAGGTCACCTGCAAGTAAATGTGCCTGAAAGCAAGCTGCATTGTTGCCCTTCGGCCCTAAGCCCAAAGCCTGTTGACAAACATCGCAAAACTTATTTTAGCCTTCTGATAAGCCCCCAGCTTTTTAGAACTATGGAATCCTCCAGTGAATGAATTCTCTTTTGCTGTCTTTATTATATGCTCAAATGTCGACTCCCTTTAGAGTTGGTTCTTGCCAGCTCAGTGGATTGCTTTAAAAAAGGCCTGGATTCTTTCCTAGATACACAGTATATAACTGAATACTAACATTTATAGGTAAAGTTGATCCAGGGAATATCCGAGTGCCTCTCGGGGGATCAGGAAGGAATTTTTTCCCTGCAAGAGCAAATTGGATCATGCTTTGCTGGGTTTTTTTTTTGCCTTCCTCTGGATCAACTGTGGGTATAGGATTCTAACTTTTTTTTTTTTTTTTTATATGGTCAAACTGTATGGACTTTTGTCTTTTTTCAGCCAGACTAACTATGTAACTTCAACCTAAACTGCTCAACGTCTGCAAACTATGTGCTGGTCCAGGGTAAGGATTGTTTCTGGGCAAGTACCTGGTCCATATTCTACAAACTGTGCATGGTACAAACTCTGACCAATCGTCCTCTGTTGCAGGATCTGATCGCATCATGTGAGCTGTGGATGCTCCTGCAGCTTTGGCCTGCTACCCTGCATAGGCTTTCAGTTGGGGGGGGAATAGCAAGTGAGTTTAGCAACTAAGCATGGGAAATGGCATTTATTATTCACTCTATCCATTATTAACAGGCTTCAGAAATATTGATCTCTATTTGGTAGTTCAACTTCATCACTGGGAGAAAACTGACACTCATCTGATTGTAGCTTATCCTAAATGTATTATGTGATCTATACAGTGTAGCACATTTTGATAAACCTTTCAGTGAAATGAATGCTTTTGCCAGTTTTGATGTTTTCATTTCTGTCACTTTAGAGCTGTCAGATATTCAAACCATTTACATTGTGAAGATAGCAGAGACAGTGTCTGACTGGAGACTGGAATATGTTCTAGCACAGCGCTCCCTCTAGAGGCTGAAAGGCAGAAACCGCTGTGAGCTGGTAGTTTTGTTTGTAAAATCTCATCCAAATCACTTATAAGGCCCCATGCACACTGTCATCCTTCCTAACATTTAAATAAGAAACCGCTAAAGATTACATTTAAAGCAAAACTCTGGGCAAAAATTTGTTTCCACGTCCTTGCTGCTGATCTACCTTCACTGAATATGTCTGCCATCTTCGGGTTCACTCACTAGTTGCTCTGAAATAAGGTGATGATTTTCAAATAGAACTGCTAATCCCCTGTGGTTTCCTTTTTGTAAGACCAGTGGCTGCTATTCTTCCTATTCCCCCAGCCACTGGTCTTGGCCCTGCCCCTCTGTAGTCCTTCCTCCTGGAAGCTGTGATGTATTTCCTCCCAGCTCACTGTAGTGGGTGGAGTCAGACTCCTGGTCTGTACCTCCCACGCAGCAAGTGTTCAAAGAATGACAGCTCAGGGCACTCTGGTCTGTCCCGCCTCCCATAGCTTCAGCTAGTAACAGTGTATATACTATACATACTAGGGATGCACCCCTATATTGGCCGCCGAAAAAAGTATTATCACCATTTTGCCCCTAGGAAAAAATTGATAAAGCCACCAAAAGTGCGATTTTACCCTGGATTTTGCCACACTTTTATCCCGCAATTTTGCCTGTGATTTTACTTGTGATTTTGACACAATTTTAACTGTGATTTTTGCCACTTTTTTACACGTGATTTTTATATTTAGGGTGCTTTTTTCATAGGTCATGTGATTTAAAAAATGCATCAAACCTGCTGCACGTGTGTTTTTGCTGCATCTTCTATGCATTTTAAGCTTGGCTCACACCAATGCAGTTTGTGTTTTGTCCGTATTGCTTTGCTTTTGGTAACGAATTTTGCGGTTTTTTTGCATGCACGTTTTTGATGCATTTTTGCATGCACGTTTTTGATGCATTTTTGCATGCACGTTTTTGATGCATTTTTGCATGCACGTTTTCGATGTATTTCAGGCCTGGTTCAGAAAAACACAAAAACCAATGCAGTCCGTATTGCAGTGCCTTTTGCAATGCATTTCACATGTTTATATGTGCGTTATTGGCGCATTTTTTAATTTTTTTTTTGGCCAACTTGTTGCTGGACAGATTAATATCGCAGATTAAGGCTCCATTCACATTAGAGCATTTAAAATCATGGGTGGAATTGCAGTGATTCTGTCCGTGATTTTAAAACATGCTGTGAAAATGTGAACAGTTGCTTTCACATGTTCAGGTGCTAGTCAGAACATTTTTTGAGTGTCGCTTGTCCCGCGATTTTGTTTGCGTATTTTCACAGTGCATTTTCAAATTGCGGTCAGAATTGCTGCGACTCTGCCCACGATTTGAAATTCCCTGGTGTGAATGGAGCCTTAATCTGTGATTTTAATCTGCCCAGCAATAAGTTGGCAAAAAAAACCCCTCAAAATGTGCCAAAAATGCAAAACGCACCGCAAAACTGAAAAAATGCAGACTGCATTGGTTTCTGCAGTTTTCTGAGCCAGGCCTGAAATGCATTGAAAATGCATTAAAAATGCACACATCTTACATTTATGATGTGTTTTGCGTTTTTGATCTGCCCAGCAACAAGCTGGCCAAAAAAAAAAAAAAATGTATCAAAAATGTGCATGCAAAATGCACTGCAAACAGCACGGCAAAATGGACAAAACACAAATTGCATTTGGTGTGCACCAGGCCGGAAATGCATTGAAAATGCAGCAAAAACATTTCAAATACTTTTACACACAATACTTTTTTGATGCATTTTGAATCTGCCTAGCAATAAGTTGGCCAAAAATAAAAACCACGTAGCAAAAACACACATGTGCTGTGGTTTTGATACGTTTTTAGTCCTATGGCCTATGAAAAATGCACCCTAACCATGATAAAATTCCGGGTAAAATCGCAGCAAAATTCCGGGTAAAATTCTGGCAAAGTTCCGGGTAAAATTGCACTAAAATGCAAGGCAAAATTCTGGCAAACTTGCGGGTAGATCATGGCAAAATCGCGGGTAAAATCACAGGTCAAATCGTAAAATCCTAGGTAAAATGCGTTTGTCGCACGGAGAACCATGCCGCAAATGCCCTGTGTTTTCAGGTGCCATTGAAATGGATGGCACCTGAGCACGCAATCATGCATTTCACATTTTCACAGCGCGTTTTCAAATTGCGGGCAGAATTACAGTGATTCCACCTGCTATTTGAAATGCCCTTGTGTGAATGGAGCCTTTATATCCTGGTGCTGTTTCTGTTTGTGGCCGGGGATGTGATCACATGGAAGCATGCAAGCAGCGGCGGCTGTTAGAAAATTAGGAAGAATTCTAATATTGAATTCCAGCAGACAACAGTAGATAAACAATCTTATTCTGGGTATGTGGCCATATTTATTCTGGGATTAAAAACAGAATGTCAGGGCAATTAGTTCCTATTCTGTTGTGACTGGAGGGCGAGTGATCACATGTGAGGATGGCAGTGGCAGCTGGGGAATGTGTGGGCGTGTTTTCTGTTGAAGTGGGTGAGTACACATGCAACATGTACAGGCCTAGTGTACCTGTCCACATGCAGTGCAATTCCCAAAAGGATGATGGGAAGTGTAGTTTCCTGAGGAGAGGACATGATGTAATCCCGGCTGTTACACTTCCTCCTTGGCAGAGCAGATACTGTTATTTGTTTTTAATTACAGAGATGACTTCCTGAAAATTCATTTAGACTTTTCTCTTCAATGGTAAGGAATTTCACAAATGTATTACCATATTTTTCGCTCCATAATACGCACCTAGGTTTTAGAGGAAATCGAGAAAAAAAATATTCTGAACCAGGAGATGACCAGAGACTGCGGACATACTAGAGGAGATGACCAGAGACTGCGGACATACTAGAGGAGATGACCAGAGACTGAAAATGTACTACAGGAGATGACCAGAGACTGCAAATGTACTACAGGAGATGACCAGAGACTGCAAATGTACTACAGGAGATGACCAGAGACTGTGGATGTACTGCAGGAGATGACCAGAGACTGCAGACACAGTACAGGAGATGACCAGAGACTGCGGACATAGTACAGGAGATGACCAGAGATTGTGGATGTACTGCAGGAGATGACCAGAGACTGCGGACACAGTACAGGAGATGACCAGAGACTGTGGACACAGTACAGGAGATGACCAGAGACTGTGGACATACTAGAGGAGATGACCAGAGACTGCGGACATACTAGAGGAGATGACCAGAGACTGCGGATGTACTAGAGGAGATGACCAGAGACTGAAATGTACTACAGGAGATGACCAGAGACTGCAAATGTACTACAGGAGATGACCAGAGACTGCAAATGTACTACAGGAGATGACCAGAGACTGTGGATGTACTGCAGGAGATGACCAGAGACTGCGGACACGGTACAGCAGATGACCAGAGACTGCGGACACGGTACAGGAGATGACCAGAAACTGCGGGCACGGTACAGGAGATGACCAGAGACTGCGGACACGGTACAGGAGAAGACCAGAGACTGCGGACACGGTACAGGAGATGACCATAGACTGCGGACACGGTACAGGAGATGACCAGAGACTGCGGACACGGTACAGGAGATGACCAGAGACTGCGGACACGGTACAGGAGATGACCAGAGACTGCGGACACGGTACAGGAGATGACCAGAGACTGCGGACACGGTACAGGAGATGACCAGAGACTGCGGACACGGTACAGGAGATGACCAGAGACTGCGGACACGGTACAGGAGATGACCAGAGACTGCGGACACGGTACAGGAGATGACCAGAGACTGCGGACACGGTACAGGAGATGACCAGAGACTGCGGACACGGTACAGGAGATGACCAGAGACTGCGGACACGGTACAGGAGATGACCAGAGACTGCGGACACGGTATAGGAGATGACCAGAGTCTGCGGACACGGTACAGGAGATGACCAGAGACTGCGGACACGGTACAGGAGATGACCAGAGACTGCGGACACAGTACAAGGGATGAACAGGGACCTTTCATATATATACAGTTTGGTATAGCAGTCTAAGGGTGGAGGAGGACATACCTGGCCAGCGGGGCTCAGCAACCTTTCTGAGGGTGGGGCTCCCACTCACATCTCAGCTTCTACTAGCAGTTACAGGCTGCATGGGGCGGGGTCAGTGAAGCTCCTGACCTGGCCCTGCCCCTGCCCCCTCCCTGCTGGTTTGGGATACAATGATGTCTTCAGTTTACCCTCTCAGCTCCACAGTGCAGTGATTGGGGCCCCAATCTAAGTGCGGCGTGGGCTTAAGGGGCAGCTGCTTTGGTCCCTGCCTGGCACTGCTGACTCTGACTCCTCCTCTCTTCTGCCACAAAAGAGCTGAGCAGCCGGCCCAGTATTCTAACACGACAGGAGGGGGGGGGGGGGGGGGCCTGGTCAATATTCGCTCCATAAGACTCACAGACATTTCCCCCCATTTTTTTGGGGAAAAAAGTGCATCTTATGGAGCGAAAAATCCGTTCACGGTTTAGTGTTTTGTGTAGGGTGGTGTACTAGTGGCTGATTTTTATTTTGTTTTCCTATCCCGGAGTTCTTCTTTAAACAGTAGTCATATCTCCGTGCGTAGGCATGATAGAAAAGCATAAGTTTGTTAGGAAGTTTCAAAGACAGAGTATACCCTCTGCTGATAAACTACAGCATTAGAGTACTTTCACACACAGTCATATACAAAGTAAAAATGATACTTAAAAATAGAAACCAGGTAAACGGAATCCGGGCCACAACTCACTAGCGTTTAAGTTCCTAGAAGCTGTTAGCATTGATTTTTCTGCTCCTAGACGCTAACAGTGTTATCCTATGTGTTCATGCACATTACTTTAGGCTCTTAGTGTTTTTTGAGCAGAAAAAAAAATGCTAAACTCTTACTAAACGCTCCTAACAGCTTTTTTTTTTTTCTAGCTTTTTTCTACATATATTGTAAAAATGCTGATAAAGCTCTAACACTCCTAAACACTCCTAAAAAACCCTATTACCAGTGTTTTTTAGCTTAAAAAAAGTGCTAGTGTGCATGGGGCCTAAACATTGAGGCTGCATCCAAAATTGTCTGTTTTTTAGGCTGTTTTCCATTGAAATCTATGTATATGCATGAAAAAGGTGCATTGATGCATGTTCACACATATTTCAGTGTGGTTTAATGTCCTTGCATTCCAAGTCAATGTGCATAAAACACGCATCTGAGCACAATGCCTTACATGCCTTATTTTTTTTTTTACCTTTTTTATCCAGGCTACATTCACACCCACCCATTTTTGGCAGATGCTTTTCATTGTGCAATGTGCAAAATGTTCCTGTATAAAATCAGTTTCAATTTTGGTTTTTGAATCCGCCCTTAAAGTTTTTTTTTTTTTTTCTTTTCCTCCTTCTTAACTCCTTTATGTCCTGTCCTAGTGGGATAGAAGGAAATCTGTTAGTTGTCACTGGAAGAAATGTCTGCTTTGTAAGATTGCTCATCTGTCCCTATTTTGGTGACAACTCAAAATTTTGGCATTTCCCTTGCTTTCAGACCCAGTGATAATTGACAGTAGGATAAACCAAGGAAAATAAAAACCTGACAGATTCTAACCCTTTCTTACTCTATCCAGAACAAATAGGGTCTTTAGAGGGCTCATTCAATCAGGCGCTCAGTCCCACACAGCATATGGAGCCCTTTTGTCCCCATTCACACTAGTGCAGTCACACCGCAAGGGAGAATTTTTTCCCACTCTGGAGTTTGGCTTTTAAAAGTTATGTGCAGGCAAAATAAAAAAACACAAAAATCAGCACATGACAGGACTTAGTCAGTAAGATGCTTACCCTGTGCTGATGCCTTTTCTATTAGGTGATCTCCTATATTGGTGCCCCCCCCCCCCCTGTAATCTTCCAGTGTGGCAGGGATAAGTATAGCTGTGGGAGCTGTCATAGAGTGCCTGACTCTGCTCACCCTTTCCATCCAGCTCCTCCATTCATATAAGCTGATACTACAGTTTCTATGAATGGAACATGCAGACCTTTCAGTCATCTGTCTGTTCTCCATTATAGATCATTTTGAATTCCTAGAAGCTGTATTTAAAGCATCTATTAATGGCGGAACTGGGTGGAAGGGGCAGGCATTGTTGAACTCTTGATGATAGTCTGTGACAGCTCCAGTTCTATTCATCCCCTGCATTGCAGGGAGATTGTGGTGGTGGGGCATTGATGAAGGCGAATTTCAGTTAAAGCAGAATTCCACTCACCCTGTCAAAAAATAAAAGTCAGCAGCTACAAAAATAGCCACTTACCTGTCCCGCGGTGTGTCCTCCGTAGCCCATTTCACCGGCCGTCCTGTTTTCTAGGAGGCCAGCATCTTCAGTGTGGGCACCTGACTCTGATAGCTTCTAGCTTCACAGCCAGGTACCCACTGCGCATGCACAAGTAGAGCTGCGCTTCATGAATGGGCCTGTAGTCTTCTGGGACCTGTCACATGTCCCAAAAGACTACAGGGAGGGAGGGAGGACACCTTCCTTTGGCGATCGGACCAGAAGTGGGAGAGGGTACTGTCAGATTCGGGTACCTGCTCCCCCCCCCCCCAAAGGTGCCATTCCTTAATGGGAAGCGGGGGAGCAGTCCTTAAAGTGGAACTTCCACTTTTGGGTGGAGCTCCGCTTTAACAGAAGAAACACCAGCACAAGGGACACATCCTAGTGACTGTAAGTTACATCCATTGTGCTGGTTTTTTTGTTTTTTTATTTTTGTTGCACTTAACTTTCAAGGACTCGTGCATCCTGGCATTTTCGGGCGTCTAAGAGGCACAGATACTGGGCATAGCTCATTACCAGCAGCCTTTCAAAATCTACGATGGGCCAAAATATGTAGGGGCTGTGTGCTGTTATTTGCAGTACTTGCCTTTAGGGCTGTATGCATTCAGGGATGTGTGCCCCGAAACAGAATTCCTGCAGGGCAGTTGCAGCTCAGTCCCATTTGCTGTAACGCAACAGAGGGTATCATTTTTGCTACAGCTGTAAAAATAAAACGTTTCCAACCCCCTTTGGTCTCTGTGTTGAGTTTGGAAGTCGGGGTGTGTAAGTCTGCGGCTGAACTGCCTATTTTTACCTTTCCCTATCCTAAAGGATGAATGAACCCTAAAAGCATGCAGAGGGGACAGGGATATCTGGTTTTAATCATTTTCTTGATAAGAATATGAATATAGTTTGCCTATAGTCTGTTCACAACAGGTGTACTATGAAGTGTGTCTGTGCCCATTGCTGGCCTGCTTCTGGAAATGCTAGTTGCCTGGCTGTATCTGTTTTTGTTACTTTTCAGTCACACACCCAGGACAAGAATGCTTTGAATTGCTGTCACAGAAGTGTCACAATCCCTATCCCTTTCCTCTATACTTGATCCAAGTCAGTGACTCAGAGAGTGTTGAGGCCAAAGCACCAGTATAATGGCCAAGGCTAACTTTGTGTACAGTTGAGGTCAGCTATTGCAGCCTATATCTTTCTCCCATGTGGGTGTACTAGAAACCTTAGCTCCTTTAAAAAAAAAACAAAGCAATTACATAAACCACCCGATATGAAAATTAGTGACTTGCTTGTTGTTTCAGCAGTATCTAGTACACAAGTAGGGATGTCATTTGGTGAGAGATGTCTGTTGAAAATAAAATGGAGCAAAGGCGGAAGGCTTGCATGTAACAACCAATGCAGGGATGTAATTGGTTACTGTGCACAACCTCTCCAGTATTGCCTTAGTTTTCTTTACACCAGTAAAAAGAAAAAACCTTACCGTAACTCATGCCATTTATTTGTCCTCCTGTAATAAAGGCTTCTCTGTGAATTGGGCCACCAGTCTAGCATGGTCTCAGGGGACGATTGAAGCAGTCATGCAGTGTACAGGTGATGTCTGACCATCCTGCTTGTTAAGCATTTCCGCGGGTAATTGCTAACCTTGAAAAATATACCATCTTGCTTTTTTGGTGTGCTAAGCCTAAAACCACAAAATCTACCTTTTTATAGTTAAAGCAGAACTAAACTCTCTCCATCAACATTAACTATTTTTAATTATTGTGCTAATAACATTAGTTAAAGTATATCATACTTGTTTTAAACTTTTTTTTTTTTTTTTTTACGTTCATTTACTTCCTAGATTCTGTCCTAGGCTATAATTATATACAGTTGTGACCAAAATTATTCAACCCCCAATGCTGTAAAGGGGTTTAGGGACTATAGTGTACATTTGGAATTGTATTCAGAATCAAATCCTACAAGGACGTTGTAACTACCCAAATGCAACTAAAATGACATCAATTGTTTATGTAATACAGTAGTAAATGGTTCTTATGTGGTTTCTTCATTGCCACAATTATTCAACCCCTTAAAGACTACCACTCTGAAGAACAGAGGTTCATACAGGTGCTTTCCATCAGGTATTGAAAACACCTGTGGATGTCACCGAGCAGCAATCAAGCATAATAAGCACCAATTAGGCAGCTTTAAAATGACTGTGATACTCAGCTCCTTCTAGACATTTACTGGTGTGGTTACAAACATGGTGAAGGCAAGAGAATGGTCCAGGAAGACAAGAGAAGAGGTGATTTCTCTTCACAGGAAGGGCAATGGCTATAAGAAGATTGCAAAGATGTTAATTTTCATATAGAGGAACTGAAGGAGTGGAGAAGGGGCTTTTTCAGCTAAGCACATCCTCCAGCCTGCATGCCTGAGCTAAGGGCACATTCCAGGAAGTAAATGCTATGTGAAATAATCTGCCCTTACTCA